CTTGAAGAAACAGTCACAACAAGGACAGTTCACTCAGATTCCACATTCCTTCAACTGCAGCAAGCATATACTCAAACTGAGATCACAAGTGGTAAGATGATTGTTAGAACCAATAGTGATCTCTAAACTGAAGGTCCAGACTATGGAAATGTAATGTGTGAAGGGACAGAGCTCTCACTAACAACATTCTGAACCCTGTCAGGAGATGACCTAGTCTGCCACTCGGGAGAAAACATACATAGGAGCTCACAGACACCTGAGAAAGTTGTAGAGTGACTATGACATAATCCAATTTCACGAGAGAAAAGAACCAGGGCCATTCCAATCACTTCTGACTTTTTACCTCAATGTGTTGTGCCCAGGTAGACTTGGGATTTTGAGTCATACTCTGACAGCTGAATGGAAGAAATAAACCCATTAGATACAGGGATGGGCAGAATCTCTATGAGGGTGATGGGGAGAGGCTACATAACATTGAGTTCTGGAAATGAGAGTCTGAAATTTGACCTGTGGAAGTTTGGAATTCAAATCACCCAGATGGGCACTGGACAGAAGTTTCCATATGTTCTCCAAGATACCCTGATATAGCAGTGCCCAGTATAGCTGAGGGTTGCTGGAAGAGTCACCAGGTGAGGATCCCTGGGCCTTTGTCATCACCCCATACAATCCCACAGAATATGATCTAGGGTACAGTGCTGTACATAAGAGAACATTCCCAATGGACCTAATGAAAACTGACACTGCCTATCATGACCCCATGCCTGTAAGATAGGGATCCCATGGAACAACAAGGCCTTTTAACCTAATTTTCACTTTCTCCAATAATGATAGGCATGAGACAAGAAAGTCCTTGAACCACACACTGGGTGCCAGACTGACTCTAAAAGTGGCTTCTAGTCCCATGTTTGTATACATTGTTCCAAGGGGTGGAGTAGGCCCTGACCTGGAAGTCATAAGAGAAAAAGGGACACTTTCTAAATACATTGCTTTTATAGGACAGACTAAATTTTCAGAAGTTGATGAAGGAAGATTATAGATGTCCATAGAGTATGAGAGGGATTAGGAGGTTGTCCACTCAATCATGTCCTGTTGCCTATACTTTATGAAGACATTGGCTACATAAATGAGGTCCTTCCAGAAGTAAGGTTGAGATTGTAATGTAGGATCAAGGAGAGCTTCCTGAGCAGAGGCTTCGTTTGTTGTGAGATCATGAAACTGACTGACAGGATTAAGTTGAAGGATTCCCTTAGTAAAGCAAAGGAAAATTGACCCACCCTATCTTTTATAGCCCAGTCCAACACTATTCTTGTGCTCTTCATGGTCAGGCATACAATGTCACTGTGCAGGTAAAATAGCTACAATCAAGTTTTAGATATTATAATATAAAATCAGAAGAATAATTCATTACCTGGTTCAGAGCCTTGGAAAAACTGAGTGATGATTCCAGGTGAGCTTGGAGACAATGGAGCAATGAGCATGGGTGTCCCTAGGTTGAAGTCCTGAGGGCCTGATGCCTATACCTTGGTCAATCTGATTGGTATATGTTCATATGAGGTGTAGACTCCAGGCTTGGAGTAGCAGGCAACATAAGCAGGGAGACACTGGGCTACTTCATGCAGACACCTAGCCTTAGCTACTATCAGTCATGGACCCTGGATCCCTGGACCCAGACTAGCATAGAAAGCATTTAGGCATTGTAAAGGAGTTGGATAAGAAAGTACCTGGACTTATATGGACCTAGACTTGAAGCCAGACAGGTTAATGTGCAGATTTCCATGCTGTGTGGCCTTAATTTTGGTTGTAGAGTTATCAATTTCCTCATCATGTTTCTATGATCCCTCCTATTAGGTCGTGTGGGGAGAAACTGGGAATTTTATTTGGCCAAAAAGAAAAATTGGTTGACCATATCCCAAAACTAGAGCACCAAGCACAAGTACTGGGGACTAGGGACTGGGGTATGTGTTTGGGAAGTTCTCTTCAGTAAGCCAGCTTGTCTGTTCAGCTGCCAGGCATCTAAAACTGACATAAAGATCAGTGGCAGCTTTCATTCAGTGACACCATAAGTGGTGACATCACTGGAATACCTTCAGACAGCAAGGTAACTTCAGCTAGCTCATCCAGCTTTGAGATGAAGCTCAGCAATAACCAACTGGGAGAGTTCCCTATAGACTAGAAAATGGTGACATGCTGCCATTGCTACGCTTTTCTTTCTCAGAGTCATCCTTCTCTGCTGCATGTCAAGACATAGAAAACAACACAGTTTGTAGAAGGCCCTTGTTCTGTTCCCAAGCTGAGGCACCCTGCAGTGTTCTGGCTTAGGCAGATGTTGCTGTCCTCCACAAATCAGGAGATCAGGCCACAGTTTTACTCCAGCAACTTCCAGGATCAGCCTAGTGTCTAGCAGTTCTGACTTACTCTCAGCCTACACCACCCCTGATGTCACAAAATGCAATAGCAAAAGCTGTATGTTAGGAAAATTTTGGTACAGATTTTCCACATCTTAGTGAAACAAGAAGGTGAAAGATTCCTCTGCCATCGGGGTGTACCTGCAAGAGAATATGGGAAATGTACAAAACTATTTAGGTAAGTCTGGCATGATTGCATTCTCTTGGTGTCCACAGCAAGGTAGGACACAGTACTGTGTTGTTCCCTATGCATCTTCCTTTCCTAAAGTTGACCTTCTGGGGAGTTGAGAATATTTTTATACTGTTGCTGGGACTTGAACTCTGAATCTGAGCCCTGTGTTTTAGCTCTTTTAATCAAGGCTGGACTCTGCCACTGAGCCTTAGTTCCACTTCTGGCTTTGTGGTGGTTAAATGAAGATCAGCGTCTCACAGACATTCCTGCCTAGGCTAGATTTGAAACTTGATCTTCATATCTCAGCCTCCTGTGTAACTAGAATTACAGGTGTGAACCACTTTTGATAAGAGACAAGGGCAGTGCTCATAGCCCAGTCTGAATAAAGGGATGGACCAGTGTGCCCAGCCTCAAGGTAGGAATGGAGCTAGTTCAGGTTGAGAGGTCAGTGAGAAGATATATCCCAAGGAGAAGAAACGATGATAAAGTAGATCATGTACAAGATAGTGTAACCTTGACTCAAATTGGGGCAGACATTCTTGACACTTCTTAAAATAAGACTTATTACATAGTTTGCAGAAAGGAGGTCATAGCAGTGAAGGAAATCAATTCCCTGGGAGAGAATTTGCTGTCTCAAACACAGGGAGGCTGTTTATTAGCCTGTAATCATACTTGAATTTAGGTTGAATGGCTGTGAGGCAAAGTAAACTTTTAGCCTTGGAGCTAATCTCACTGCCAGATTCTTTGTGATATTACACATGGAACCATCAGGATCTACTCACAAATGAAATGGCACAGTGGAGAGGACACATTTTCTCATCCAAATCTTCAACTATGAAAGAAGCAGTATCCTATTCTTCCTTATGCTGGCACTGCTGTCCATGGCACTCCATCCTGTAAATGTTTCTCAAAGCTAGGAGAAAAAGCCACATGTGAGGCAGTTGGTTTCATTTCTGTGCTCTGAACCTCAGGAGACCAAGTCAGGAGTGTAGGCTCGGCCATCTAATCCTACATTGTAAAGCCCAGATTTGGCCTGGCTTGTAGAAGCTACTGGGTATCTGTTAATTCCTTCCTGTTTAGGGGTTGGACAAGAGTCTCTTTTGGTCCTATTGTCATTTCCACTGATGCTAACAGGTGAAAAGGAGTTTGGAGTACATTACAACTGTTTGTTGGGTATGAGTCAAGGAATAGTTGGGAAAGACATATCCACAGTGCTTGGACAACACTGTCAGGAAGGAAGATTTGAAGCACCACTGTCACATAGTCTGATCTCCAGTGTTTGGTGCTGAGATGCTTCCAGAATATATCTAGGCACTGAACTTTGGGAAAGCACACTTGGAACTCATATTATTGGTCTGTTTCCTGGGCAGATCCAGTCCTGAAGCATGAAATCCAGGCCTGGACAATGTCCCTGAGCTCCTTTGGCTGAAGGCTACTGCTCTATCTCTTGAGACACAGTGTCACTTCTGGATTTTTCTGTAGATTAATTAGAGATAAGAGACTTTCCTGCCGGGTTTGGTAGGAAATGTAAAGATTTGTCCTAAACTTTTTTTTCAAGGTAGAATAATGACTTGTCAACAAATAGCAGTGGATGTATCTATATTTTGAGATTACCTCTGTACTTTTAATCTTATTTCAATGTCACATTATAGTAATACATTTTACCCTATCCAAAATGCCAATCATGAGCAGAGTAGCAATCACAGTAACCAATTAGAGAAAAGTAGCAACTCATGCTGCATTAGGAATAAATTGGTGGACAGCCTGCCAGATCTGTATGCTTGTTTGCCAGATTTTTTGGTTAATGGCTCAGCTTTGTGCATAGTATCCCTTGTTGGGATAATTCTGTATTTCTGTGTCCATAGTTTTAACTCCGGTGGTTCCGGGAGAGCATGCATATAACAGTGGGTTTCCAGTGCACAGTCCCTGATCCTAGTTGTAGTGGCAAAATGGTAGACATTGTATACCTAGTAGTATGCCCCAAGCCAACACTGGATACCACATGTCTGATCACTGCTGTAGATATGAAGGGTAGACATGCCTATTCTTGCCCTGTAGTGAAAGTTATCTTCAATGAGGAGTGGTTAGAGGTCAACTTCCATGTGATGAGCTAGCAGTATCACTCATGAGAAGATATTTTATCTTGCTAAAATGTGGAAACATAGCTCCAGAAAGACACTGAAAGTGGTTGTATAGCTCTGGCAAAAAGTTGTTGCCTCTCATACATGAGACTCTTGATCTTCAAAAACTATTGAATAAAGATGCTACCAAGACACCACCAAACCCAATTTTAGAAAAGCATAACTTTATAAATTGATGCAAATGCCATTGAAAACCCAAATTATAGAGCTCAGCCAGTGATTGTTTTTGCTCCTCCCCTCTTTCTTGGGACTTATTTTTTCTAAATCTTCCAGTGTATCCTATCAGCGCACTTGCTGATCAAGACCCTGAGATTCATGTTTCCCCACATCACTGAACCCTTCAAAAAGGGGATCCAGGCACACATGGGTAACTTTGAAGTGGAAAGGGAGGTCTTCACATCTCTGATCTGTTAAGTCTACTGGTTCTTTGTAGACATAGTGTTTCAAAAACAAAATTTCTACTAATGACAGATGATGGAATGGGGCAAAATCAGCTCTTCTTAAGCCTAGACAATCTTTGTAATTGTGATTATCCTGTGATTAGGGTGACAGTTAAGGATGAATTTGATGTTTTAGGCTTTAGTAGAGGTGTAGACATGTTGTTAAAAATTTCCAAAGATGTTTTTCAAAAATAAATTTTGAGCTTTGGGAGAGCTGACTTCACAGTTATTCAACGGATTAGTTCAACCTTCATTTCATTGAAATAACACTAGAAATTTACAAGGCATAGGGTCAAGTGGGGTGGAGTGTTTAAAATATTTTTTTTTGGATTTTTGCTGGCTCTATGACACTTTTAAGCGGAAAGGCTGGATTCAGAGTCCTGTAAGCATAGCTACTTACCCAGATGGATTACAGTTGTTGGGAAAACCATTTCAATTGTTCCTTTTGGTCATGAGGTAGTTTTTCCAGACAGTGTAATTTGTTGCAATTGAGGAAGGCTGAGAAATGTCAGTCTGAAACACACCTTGAGGTCCTGTCTGTTGTACAATAGATTTTTATATTTGATAGTTGTTGCAGAAGTGTAGAATGATTTTTAAGGACTAGTCTATGTGGAAGGTCTAGAATATTGTGAGCAATAGGAGATCTTATTTTTTCATAATCATACTCCAACATGGTAAGAATTGATGTTAATGAGATGACTTAGGTGCCAGCACTCTATCACTTTAGTAAGGAGACTGGTGACTGGACAGAATGAACCCATGGTTTGCAGTACTGGAGTCAGTTTGGTGGGATTTAAATCAGAATATGTATGAACTATTCTAAGTTGAGGTGGTGTCAGAATTGCACTGTGGGACATACAGTGTGGTTGGAGAATGAAGTTGCTTTAAAAAACAACACAGGTTTTGTATCAGAAGTGTTGGAAGAAAAATAACATTGCAGGACAACACCTTCACTGTCTCTAGGAGAGTGTTTAATGACTGCTTTGTTCTGTGAAAGAGAGAACCAAGGGATGGATACCTTCCTTCCTACATTCCTCCCTCCTTCCCTACCTTCATTCCTTCTTTTTCATCCTTTCTTCATTCTTTCCTTCTGTCTATCCTTCGTTCCCTTCTCCTTTTCCTCCTTTCTTCCTTTTTTTCTTGTTCCTGCAGCTTGAACTCAGGGCCTGGGTGGTGTCCCTCAGCCTCTTTTTGCTTGAAGGGAGCACTGTACCAATTGAGCCACAGTACCACTTCTGGATATTTCTGAGTAATTTACTGGAGATAAGACTGTTATAGACTTTCCTGCCTGGGCTGAATTCAAATTAAGATCTTAAAATCTAAGTCTCTTGGGTAGGTTGGATTGCAGGCATGAACCAGTGATGCCAGACTATTTAATTTCGTATAGCTTTACCATCGCTCTTGGTTTTGCCAATCATGAATTCTGAAATATTTTCATTTTTCATCTAATCCTGCAGAAAAAGTTTATTTGTTAGCTTACCAGATGTAAACTTTTGCATACATGAAAATTTGTATTCTTTTTGTCTAGTTCTCCATTGAGCAACTTCATTTAAGTGACGTTACAAAACATATTTTCTTTTTAGTACTTTTGATGATTTCCAAATCTTTGTTGATATTTCTTATACAAAAATTTTTATACAAAAATTTCCCCTTGTTACTAAGGCTTTTTTCTATAGTGCCTCTGCACACTATAGAATAAAACACACTGACAGTTGCTAGAAAGTGTTGTTGAATTAGTCTTGTGTCTAAGATTTGTCTTAAATTGTTACAACGCAATTAATAATTTACTTTTTCATTATTCATATTTATGCTATTTATATTTACATTTTATTTTCATACATTATGACTTCATTTCATACATTATGCCAGTCATTGGAAATGGGATATTTTCATGGTAAAGTGTCATAAGTTCTGTAATCAGGTTCACTTTTTTCCAATATAGGAATCTGGTTGTGGAAATTTCTGAGGCGGTTAAGTATTTGTGAAATGTGTTTTGTTTGTTTTACAGCAGAACATAGGCAAAACCCCAAAGTTTCAATGTGTTTACTTTACCTGTTTTCTCTATTATCAGAGGATTTCCTCTGTATGTCAATGTAATTACATGGTACAGGTTATTTTTGTTTGTTCTTATTTCTTTAGTATAAATTTATTTTTATTTAAAATCAAGGATGTTTAAAGCCAGGCGTTGGTGCCTCACTCATGTAATCCTAGCTACTGAGGAGGCTGAGATCTGAAGCTCACGGTTCAAAGGCAGCCCAGGCAGGAAAGTCCGAGGGACTCTTATCTCCAATAAAACACTAGAAAACCAGAAGTGACATTGTGGCTCAAGTGCTAGAGTGCTCGCCTTGAGCTGAAGTCCAGAGTTCAAGTTCGACGAAGAACAACAATAACAAAAAAAGGATGTTTAATGTGTGTCTTGCATTCTTTAGGAAAACAAAAAATTCAAACTACTTACGTTTGCAATTCAATGTAACTATTTAAACTTAGGCCATAAGCTCAAGTGTTTTCGCTTTTTTCCCCCTAGATTTAAGCTAGATGTGGAAGTCTTAAGTTCATTCCAAGGATTCACTACACCTGAATGAACTTTTCTTGGTAAAACTGTATTTCAATTTTACTGTAATTTCAATGTGGGAGACTAGGGAATGCAATATATTTTCAAGGCCCTGCTTAGTACTATATTATAATATATTTCAGACTAAAGTTTTACAAAACTTTTCATGTCTTGCTTCTAAGAAAAAAGCAGGGAATCAAGTTAGAGTAAGAAGAGTAACTAAACTCTCCCTCTTTCCTTTAAACCTTCCTTTCTTTTAGGTAGAAGAATTGAGGCCAAAGAGGTGAGACTAGATTTTCACTTGTCACTGAAATCAGATTGTTTGAGAATGACCAAAAGTGTGTGTGTCAAGGTACTCCAATGGAATTATGTCAGAATGTAGTATATACTTCCAGATTAATAGTAGGAGGGGTAACTTACTTGGGTACTTTTTACTTTATTTCAGTCCTTATGAGGTAGTTTCTGTGGCATTAATATAACATGGCTTCATTTTATTGTTTGGTTGTCTACAGCCCTTTTATTATGCTTTTACCATCTTCAAATTTGGGTAACACAACTAAAATGTTTTCTTCAGTCCATGGTCTTTCTTAAAAAATAGAGGGCTAATACAGAATGTTTCCCTTCACTTCTAACACTATACTATAGGAAATATAGCTGTATGTGGTGTATATTCATTTGAACAGCAGTTTTAAGAGAAAGGTGAAAATTCTCTCAAAAACTATGTGCCTTGCTTAATTTTTCTGGAAACCTCATTCTCATGTATGTTATAGCTCTTCCTGATCTGATAGGAATACTTTGACTTGTTTTCCCTTGAAGAACTGATCAAGTAGCAACCAATGTGATGACAGATATTTGCATAGAGAGCTACCATTATGCAGTGATTCTTCGGAGGTTTTTCTTTGACAAGAGCTTAGTAACACACAAGTAGCTTAATGATCTATAAACAACCTTATCTGGAGTTCTGCAGCCCATAGTCAGGGCATCTTCCAGCATCACTATGATCGGTATGCTTCTTGTAGGTTTTAGAGTTTTTTTTAAAGTATCAAAAAGCTTCCTGAACTGTTTTCAAATTTGGTTTCTTTCTTCCTTCAGCATATCTCCAAAATACATTTGATTTTTTTGTCTTTGTTTTTAGAGAGTTTATATGAAAGAACTTAGTGTTTATATGAGTTGTTTTCTTTGGGGGGGGATAGGATTGTAGATCTTAAATTCATGGCAGAAGTACTGTCCATGAGCCCTTTTTTGCTCAAGGCTGACACTCAAACAAATTGACCAACAATTCCTCTTCTGGTTCTATGATCATTAATTGGAGATTATTGTCTCATGGATTTCCTGCCAGGGATGGATTTAAACTACCATTCTCATATCTCAGCATACTGTATAGCTTGGATTACAGTGAGCCACCAGTTTCTGATTGATTCTTGTTTCTATCACCAGTATGGATGCTATGGTTTGGATTTTATAATAATTCCTTGCATCTTTCAGAGTTGTTCATCTTTATTTGTGTGTGTGTGTGTGCGTGTGTGTGTAAAAGAGCGCATGGTCTTCTTTATCCTTCCAGGAGGAACTATAAAGTAAAAGTATATAGCAACATTTTTCCAGGATGATAGAATTTTACGCTGTTTTGTGCCTCAAATGAAGATATCCTGTGGAGGTGTGAGAGAACTAAGACAACCGACACTTCTGCCTCCATTAGTAAATACTCACCATATATATACATAAAATATTGTATGTATATATTTACTCCAGGATATTGTTACCAGTTGAAGTGCCCTGCTCAGCTCATGACTCATCATTTAAGTGGTTATTAATCCTTTGAATATCATCTTTTCTTTGCCTTATTATCACCAATGTCACACCAGAGGTTGAGCTATGCAATTTACTATAACATATGCTGAATATTGACAGGATGTCTTAAGAATCATCCCTTATCTCTTTATTCTTTCTCAAACTTGATAAATTGCTTTCCTTCCTCTTGGTCAAAATGCATTCTCACTTCTGCATAATAGATCATTATGTACCTCTTAAGATATGATAAAAATGCAGCAAAAAGAATAAGAGATACAAATAAAAGTAAATAAGCACATACAAAAAAGATGTGATAAGTGTGAACTGCTTGCTACTAAGTGGGTAATCAGTGTTTTACTAACCAATAGCAGTAATATTTGCTAAGTAGTATTCCTTTTGCAAGGAATATAAACACAATGCAGCTTTTTTATTTGGTCAATAATTCCAATTTAAAATCAAAGCAATATAAGTCCATTTTTAACATATAATCACTCTTGTAGTAGATCATATGTCAGTGTACTCATAAATTGATATGTTGAAGTGATGCCTTTTGTAGAAATACCTAATAGTAGTAAAAATCAATAAACCAAAGGAGTGAACAGAAAGACATAACATGTTACAGTATGTCATAGTCATGTGTTACTTTAAACTTAGTAGAGAAACCAATATCTGTCTGTTTCATAACGAATAATACATTTCTCATAAAACTGAAATATTGCAAAGGTAACATTTACTTGGTACCAACAGATACAGCATCAATTGATAATATAAGAAGAAAAATGTATATAAAGATAGAATTTAAATAATATTTTTAAGTGATTAAACAAAAATAACTTGAAAAGTATATCTAGCCATGGATAATGGACCTTTTATGAGTCTCTAAGTTCCTCAGCTATTACTTCATAAAGACAATACATTATGATATACAAATGAATTGTATTTTTGTAGCATATAAAGGCATTCTTGAAATTCTAAAACAATATAGGTTAAGGAGAGAGGGAGATGGAAGAAGAAAGAGAATAAAATGATAGCAAAAGTGAATGAAATAAGAGAGGATGTGGGAGACTGATACAACAAAAGAGATTAAGGAATATAGAAAAAGGCAGATGTGTGAATGGAAATACACAACTATGAAGCAAAGTAAACTCTATTGAGTATATTAAAATATGGAACTTTTTGGACAATTATAGTGAGTTGTGATTAAGAATAATGATGATGAAAAAGTAGGAAGATAATTTACTTTAACTTTTGGAAAAATATCCATAAACTCAGCTGCACAGGATGCTAAGATTTGTTTATAATGGTTTAAACTTGAGCAGGATGGTCAAGAGAATAATATTTCTGGTTAACGATTACATAGCTAAAAGTGAAGCTGTGGCTCAAATATAAAGCACCAGCCTTAAACAAACAAACAGACAAATAAACAAACTCAGGGACAGTACCCAGGCTTTAAGATCAAGACCCAGGACTGGCAACAAAAAAATTAAGCAAATGATTAAAAACCCAAATTAGAATACTAGAAACAGTGTAAATATACTAATGGTGATAATTGGACAAGTGCAGAGTACATGTTAAGAACAAAAAATCTATAGAATGAAATTCAAAATTACCTGGCTCTGGCTACAATTTGTGGCTTTACCACTACTAGAGAAATGAATGAATCACTTATTCATCGAATTGATTTCAGCAATATAAACTAATATAAGATGGAAAAATGTAATGCAAAATTTACTATTAGCCTTCTACATATTTGATCATACATGTAAGTTTCATCTTGAGGGCTTATTTCTCATGGTGTGTTATATCCCGGAAGCCATGCAGAAAATTTCTTTCTGGCCTTAACAAGATGATGTAGCACTTGGGGACAAAGATGCAGCCCAGGAGCCCTGCACTGGAAGCCAATATGGAAAAGACCTCTGTAGCTGCCATGACTTTCCCCTTGGCACTATGGTAGACAGGCACAAAAGTGAGCCAGACACTGCAGAACACCAGCATGCTGAAGGTTAGGAACTTTGCTTCATTGAAGGAGTCAGGCAGGTTCCTGGCCAGGAAAGCCACAATGAAGCTGGCTAGGGCCAAGAGAACCAAGTATCCCAAGACAGAATAGAAAGCAATAAGGGAGCCCTTGTTACACACAATGATGACATGGCCATGTTCAGAGTGGGCATCTGTATCAATGAATGGAGGTGAAGTCCACAGTCAGAGTACACAGAAAGTCACCTGGATCAAAGTGCAGATGGGAATGATGAAGTTAGGAGCCCCTGATAGCAGCAACCACCTCAACCTTCTCCCTGGAGATATGACCTTGAAAGCTAGAACCACAGTTACAGTTTTGGCCAAGGCAGCAGAAACAGCTACCGTGAATGCAACTCCAAATATGGTTTGCTGTAGAATGCAGGTGACTGTGTTGGGGCAGCCGATAAAGAACAAAGAACAGAGAAAACAGAAAATGAGGGAGATAAGCAGGATGTAGCTGAGAGCCTGGTTATTAGCCTTGACAATGGGGGTGTTCTGATGTTTCACAAAGACTCCAAGAACAAATGCTGTGAGTGTAGATAAACAAAGAGCCATGCAGGCCAAGCCCATCCCTAAGGGCTCTCCATAAGCCAGGAAACTTGCAGCTCTTTGAAGACACTGGTTTCTCTCTGTGTTGGCATATTGATAACCAGGGCATTTCACACATTGTTCCATATCTGGTGAGGAAATCAAATAATCATCATAAGTATCTGTCCCTTTTCAATACTTAAAAGGATATTAGAAAATCCCTGCATAGAGATAATAGTAACATGTCAATACTTACTGGATATAAGCAAATATTAGTCAGGTGCCAGTGGCTTACATGTGTAGTAGTAGTCACTCAAGAGGCTGAGATCTGAGGATCATGGTTCAAAGCCAGCTTGTGTAGGAAAGTCCATGAGGCTTTTATCTCATATTAACCACCAGAAAATCAGAAATGGCACTGTAGCTCAAGTGGTAGAGCACTAGCCTTGAGCGAAGGTAGCTTAGGAACAGTCCCCAAGCTCTGAATTCAAGCCCCAGGACTGGTTAAAAAATAGATACTGAACATATTGGTAATACTTGGGAATATTTGCTTTTTTTTGTGGATCGTAGGGCTTGAATTCTGGCCATGGGTGCTGTACCTGATCTTCTTTCACTCAAAACTAGCAGTCTATTACTTGAGCCACAGCACCACTTCTGGTTTTTTCTGTTTATGTGGTACTGAGGCATTGAACCTGGGACTTCATGCATGCTGGGAAAGCACTCTACCCCTAATCCACACCAACAGAAAGTTTTTATGCCCAAAGTGTCTATCACACACAGAATTTCTTGCCATTTCTAACATCTCATCAAAAATATTTCCAGACTTCCTCATGTTGCCATAACTTTTCTCAGCCATGTGTGCACTTTTCAAACCCCTCATCTAAAAGGGTGCATCATAGGGTTTGTACTTCCCTGTATGTCTCTGAACAATATAAATAGGAGCACAGAAGCTATTTCTTGCAGTTGTTATATTTGTCTCTCCAAATTGCCTGTCATGAATTGGGCAACATAAAATCAAATTGCTGTTGTAAAGTCATTCTGTTCACAAACCTTGTTCCTGCATCTTACTCAATCCACAGCAATTTCTCTGTTGAAAGAATGTCCTGGGCACCGGGAAATAAATCTGAGCAAGGTCTCTGTTTTCTTTGTATTTTAACGTTAATTTTGAGTAAAATGGAGATCTCATCTTTTTAAAACTTTGCACTTAATATGATGGATGTTAAACTTACATTAGTGATTAGTTGAATAAACATACATACAAGAGAGTGTAAAAAATTAATCCTACACAAAATTCAGAGCCCGTGAATTGTTTTTTTCCCAAAAAAACAGCATCCTCTAAGTTCACAATTAAACTACTAAAGTGAAGGAAGGAACTCTTCGATGTTGCTATCCTACTACACAACTTTTTCATTGCATGGATTTGGGGACACTAGGAGAGAATATAAATTTCTCCCCAAGTCATGAACTTGCCTGTTCCATTAGCCATCTCATTCTCTGAGCAAGGGATACAATCATAGCAACAGGCAGCCTTTTCCTCTTGAGGGGATTTCCTGAATCCTGGACCACAACTTTCACTGCAGACAGAGTGAGGAGGCTGAGGAAAATCAGATCTGTTTCAGTAACTGTTCAGACTTTTACCTGACACTCCAATATTTCCATTATTTTAAACCATAAAATTATTAAGCATAGTATTTTTTGCACATGAATCTGGTCAGTTAATTCAGTGTCAGTATAGATTCCACATCATACCACAAGTGGCTTATGTCCTATAACCTTGATCTCTACCAAGACTATTGAATTCTTAAGAAGTGTGAGAACTTTAAAAGTTGGCAATTACTGGTGAGAAAGTAAGTCCTAATGGCCAGCCCTATGGACTTTCCTTGAATTCATGTCATTATTTGTTTACTACTCATTTGTGACCTATGAAGAGTAAGGAGAAAGTATCCTCTTTGAAGCTTGAAAAGTATGTTGTAAAATAATGCACAGGCCTCCCTGTTATTTGAACACCACACCCATCCTATCTTCTTATGTATACAGTGTCCATGTGATGGGAATCTTGGTTTTGCTCTGGCTTTTTCACTGATTCCTCTCAGCAAAGGTGCCTAAGCAGCAGGCACGTAACCATTGAATAGAATTTCCACAAGAGGGAGCGAAATAAACTTGTAAAACACATAAAGTGATTGCTCTAATACTTTGTTGCAGCATAGAAACTTGCCACGAAAAATGCAATTCAGACTTTATAATAACATTCTCAGCACACTTTTAGAAATGCACTGTTAACTTATATATAGGAGCTAATCCTGGGTCTTGAACTCATACTCTGGGCACTGATCTTGAGCTTTTTGTGCTCAAATTAGCATTTTACTACTTGAGCCAAATTTCCACTTGAGCTTTTTTGTGGTTAATTGAGATGAGATTCGCATAGATTTTTGTGCACAGTTGAGCTTTAAACAAACCTTTAGTAGTCTTAGATCTGAGGCTGTCAGACACCTGAGTAGACAGGATTGGAAGCATAAACACCCAGCCCTGTTAAATTATGCTGTTCTTTTCATATCCAATACAATTTCTTATGTTGGCCAATACAATTTCTTATGTGGAAATATTTTAAATGTACAATACTAGGATTTTAATAAGCATATAGGGTATAAATTGTGTGTGGTGGGGCAGAATTGTCTTGAAATGAGAGCCTATGCTGTGTATCTGAGCTATGTTGCTTACTACTAGCACTGATGGGTAATATACTGCTTCACTTCCAGCTTTAATGATGGTTAATTAAAGGTGAGTGTCAAAGCCTTGCTTTTTAGCACAGCTTTGTAAAAATTATCTTCAGCCAGTGATGTAACTGTATTATAGGTGCAAGATACTGGCATTCAACCAGGTATAAATTTTAAGGATAAAATTTTTTTACTTATATATCATTAAAGTCATTACAGTTGAATCCAAACAACCTTTGTAGTTCCTATGGTCCACTCTATCAGATCTTCAGATAAAGTCAGTTGATGACCATGCGGAGTATATGGGGAAAACTTTCCTACTTTCATCTCAAATTGAAGACCTTCTGGAAAATTCCAAATGTTCACAATATCATACTCTGCCACCAATTTCTTTTTCTCATGAAGAATCACTTGATCTCCAGCAGGATTGTGAAACTGGATATTCTTCAGAAAAGAATGTAGCTAAAAGGGAAACATCATATTACGGTGAAGTACACCCCAGAGTTAAGATGGAAAATGTGAAGTAAGATAATTTTCTGTCTCCCTTAATTTCTGATTCAGAATTTAAGAATATTAAAGATATGTAATGAAGTTACACAGAAGAAAATCTATCAAAGAATAAAAATAGTCTTTCTGAGGGAATTTTATTGTTATTTATGTAATGAAGTCATAGGTTGTCATACCAACTCCAAGATATTAATTATAGAGAAAGGAACCTTCAACATGGAGGATGAGAAAAGAATTTTTGAGGAAACTTTACATTAAAATATATTGTACAAAGCCACCATGGGAAATTAAAATAATCATTACTCTTTTCCTAATATATTTAGATTGAGATAGTGTAAAGAAAAGAACATAGAGGAATAAAGATCAAAATACCTGACTTTCTCTTTTGGCATATCTATGTGTGCAAAGTTAAGTCTGTGGGTGGGAACATTATAAAGAAATTAATACACTGAAATAAACATACACAGTTCCAAGAAGGAAATAATGCATGAAAATGCAAGTGATTCAAAATGGACAGAAAAAAATCTATAGAAATGCAAGAAAAATATCCATCAAAGGAAGCACAATTCTTACAGAAAGTAACCAGGCTATAGTGAAGATAATGAAGGACCTAGAAGTTAGTTCTAAAAATGATTTGAAAACGGGGTGATGAAAATGTTTATGAAAAGAAAGAAAACATACACAGGACAAATGCTGAGCATGATTAGACTAAGTAGATTAGTAGAAGATTTCATGGCATCCACAAAGATAAAGCTAAACAAATATCACAGATGAAAACGGGTGCAAGGAATATATCTTCTCTTGGCAAAATGATATGAGTGAAGATGTAGATAATTCATGGAAACTAACAGCAAAGGAGCTGGCAAGAGCTTTAGGGATCAATCAAATGGCCCACTTTAAGATCACATATTCAGGAAGTAGGAAAGTCAGCTATTAAAGAGATAGGAAATATATCTAGTAGAAGTATAGCAGAATAACTCCTGACCATGGAAAAATATAGACACATTCTGGTTCAAGAAGCCTTAGAACCTTAGAAATCCAAACAGACCAGATCATCAATTCCACATTGTAATTCCCCTAGGTTCAACAGTGTTGGTAATCCTGTTCACTAAGCAAGGAAATAGAAGGCCTCTTTTCAAGAGGAAACCAATTCCTTTTAAATAGTCATGAGTGGAACAATTTTCATTCACCTACCTACCTATGGTTTTCCACATCCACTAATTTTGTGATTACCTTTAGTTTGAGTTTGGTAAAATTTTAATACATAAAATAGAACAAAACTCAATCACTTATGAAAAATATAGATAATTCTGTGCAGAAGGTTACCATTTGCAATTACTTAGGCAATGCAGAGTAACACATTATTTATAGCTTTCAAAACATTGACTATTAGCATGTTGAGGTGATTTGTAACTGAAGAATTTTTAGAAACATGGAATATATCTTGTCCTTGTTCCTGGCCTGCTTTTCATGAAGAGCACATGAACACATGTCTAGAGATTCTCACAGACATTTAAAGAAGTATAGTATCTTGGGTTTTCAGACAATACCTCAAATATTTAATTTCATAGAGTAAGAAATCTCTCTATGAATTAACTTTCTTTTGGTGTGTGACATCCAATAAAGAAGACCTTACCTGTGCAGGGGAAAGCACCATCACTTTTCTATTTCTCATTGTTTGTATTTCTGTTTGGTGAAGCAGCATCTCATGGAGAGCCTGGGCCACAGCATATACAGCATTGTAGATAGTGTAACTGTCCCTAGACATTGTCTTGTCAAATGTGTGTCTAGGCAACCAGTCCAAGGAGGCATCATGAGTACATTTCTCCCAATTTACACAGTCAGACTCAGAACCTGAGCAATTAAAAGAGAGAAACCACAGCCGAGCAAGAAAAAAGTCTTTTGGGTATTTAAAAGGGTTAACTGATTTGAGAAAATCTGTGAATCCAGAAACATCTGGGCGATGGTGTGAAAAAATGAGAGGTACATGGAATGAACCTGGAATGAAATATCTCTTTCTCAGGGTTGAATCCCATTGAGTGTTCATGATAAAAACTTTTCCTTTTATTAATATTTGTTCAATACACATCATTAAATAATGCATGAACTCATTATCAGCATATATGATGACTACATTTGCTGAAGATTTATTTATCTGGTTATAATGTGCCATGATTTTGAAAATATTCGAGATGGCATAATTTGGGAATGTTAGCTCAACAGCTACACAAACTCTGTTCTTGCCCATCTCTTCTTTCAATGCAGGAAGAATCCATAAACCATTCTCATCTTGTATGGTTATCAGTCCCACCCAATTCCAGCTGAAGTGAAGTAATAATAATACCATGGCACTGGCTATTGATGTGTCTCTTGGGGCCATCTGATAGAGACCAGGAAACATGTTATTGTCACTCAGAACATGATCGAAAGGCCCAGAGGTAAGCTAAAGGGAATAAGAATATGATGCAGCATGCATGAAAGAAAAGATTTTCATCCATCATAATCCCAGCCATGATGTTATATAACCATGTAAAATAGATGGAAGGTATGTTTTCCATTTACTTTTTGAAAGAAATAAATTTTTAATTTTTAAAATTATTTTACAACATATCAATTTGTTTTACAAAAACTCTTAAACCTTGTCACTGTTTCCTTCAACTCCTGTAAGCTATATCGACCCTACATATTCACTAACTTTCTTAGTTCCATTTTCACATATGTACATTATATATTATGTTGTTTTCTCCCACTCGTCTATTCCTTCTTCCTCTTCCACATGTGGGAGAACATCACCTCTTTTCTCTTTCTGAGCCTGACTTTTTCATTGAATACATCTTACACATGAGCCTGCATATGTGTGTGTGTGTGTGTGTGTGTGTGTGTGTGTGTGTGTGAGTAGTAGTAGTAGTGGTAGTAGTAAAGGCCCAGTAACTCAGGATCTTATGTAGTTCTTGGCTTTTTTCCTTAAAGGTAGCATTCTACCACTTGATACACATGCTACTTCCTGCTTTTTCTCTGGTGATTTGAAATGTTTCCTGAGTCAATAGGATTAGAGATGTGAGCCATCAGCATCAAGCCAAGCATGCCATGACATTTTAAAATCATATTCCATTTTCTGATTTCTTAAAGAACATCAATGTTAAGGTTTAAAACTCCAAAATAACTTTTTCAGCTGTCTCTTTTCAGCCTTTTTTCAAACTAATCAGACTATAAAGTTCATATTTACCTTTGAATACTTACTCTCTGATATGACAAAATTGCAAGGTTCATAAATCAAGGCTCTTCCTATCTTTCTCTTCCAAAACCTGACTTAGCACCAAATTAGGCATTCTTAATATTCCCCAACCCTCCGACTCTCACCTGTGGAAACCTGTAGAGGCCCAACAGTGTCCCAATCTGGGAAGATATTGCTCCTGAAGTTCCTGTAATTACTGCTATAGGCTGATTGTCTCTCATACAGTTATAGTTTGGAATCTTGTAGTTCCCAAAGAGGCAAATAAAGGGATTTATAAATGCTGTCCATGTTCCATATAGAAAATCATAGATATTAAATCCCAGAGTCAAATTATGTAAAAGATCAGGGTTTTTGTTGATCTCTTCAATAGCAAAAGCCAAGGACAAAACAAACTGGTAGTTTTTGAAGGAAAACCTGCATAATGAGCATACCAATTCAGGAAAAGCATTTCAAAATTATGACTTTTGTGTAATCAATACTTGCTTCTCTCCAATTGGGATGAAATATGAATATAGCATTTTGTGTTTGTATATAAGTTTATATAAGGACATGAAAGGAATTTGTCAGGAATGACATTCAGAAACTTAGTTAAGCTGAGAGCTTGCTTCACCTCCACTACCATAATCATACAGCCCATAAAAAATATTCCATTAAAAACTAGGGAGGCTTTGATGAAACACAAAATATTCTGTTGCCTTCACCTTGGAGGGTGACTACCTCCACCTGTGTGAAAAATCTGTTTCAGTCACTCAGTTATGCTATTTGGTTATATTGCAGGTTGAACTAACAAATCGTCAATTTAATAGAATCTTTCATAAGGAAAGTGTCATTTAATGAAGATTCTGCTCACAAACCCAACAAAAATCATCAGTTCTTCCTGAAATATCAATCAGAACAAGAGCTTAAATATCAGGTGGGGGAATTTTATTGTTATTTTTGTAATGAAGCCGTAGGTTGTCATCCAACTCCAAGGTATTAATTATAGAAAAAGGAACCTTCAACATGGAGGATGAGAAAAGAATTTTTGAGGAAACTTTACATTGAAATCCATTGTCCAAAGCCACCATGGGAAATTAAAATAAATCATTACTCTTTTCCTAATATATTTAGATTGAGATAGTGTAAAGAAAAGAACATAGAGGAATAAAGAAGATCAAAATACCTGACTTTCTCTTTTGTCATATCTATGTGTGCAAAGTTAAGTCTGTGGTGGGAACATTATAAAGAAATTAATACACTGAAATAAACATAAAATGCAAGTGATTCAAAATGGACAGAAAAAAATCTATAGAAATGCAAGAAAAATATCCATCAAAGGAAGCACAATTCTTACAGAAAGTAACCAGGCTATAGTGAAGATAATGAAGGACCTAGAAGTTAGTTCTAAAAATGATTTGAAAACGGGGTGATGAAAATGTTTATGAAAAGAAAGAAAACATACACAGGACAAATGCTGAGCATGATTAGACTAAGTAGATTAGTAGAAGATTTCATGGCATCCACAAAGATAAAGCTAAACAAATATCACAGATGAAAACGGGTGCAAGGAATATATCTTCTCTTGGCAAAATGATATGAGTGAAGATGTAGATAATTCATGGAAACTAACAGCAAAGGAGCTGGCAAAAGCTTTAGGGATCAATCAAATGACCCACTTTAAGATCACATATTCAGGAAGTAGGAAAGTCAGCTATTAAAGAGATAGGAAACATATCTAGTAGAAGTATAGCAGAACAACTCCTGACCATGGAAAAATATAGACACATTCTGGTTCAAGAAGCCTTAGAACCTTAGAAATCCAAACAGACCAGATCATAAAAGAATATGCTACTCAACACTGTAATTCCCACAGGTTCAATAGAGTCCAAGGAAAGGATCCTGGAAGCTATCAGAAAGGAATAATTGATTACTAATGAAGGAAAACTTGTCAGAATAAATACAAATTTCTCATCTGCGACCATGAAAGCAAGGAGAGCTTGAAATGGTGTATGCAAACAATTACCAACCAAGAATAATGTATCCAGTAAAACACTCCTTCATAACTGAGGGAGAAATATAAAACTTCATAACAAGAATAATTGAAATAACTTTCTCCATCAAGCAAGCACAGAAACTAAAGATGTCCTACGTATATAAAACCAACCCACGAGAACACTCTTTATTAGAGAGCCAGATCAAAATAACAGGAAACGATAAGGCACAGCCACCTAGCAGATGGATAACATGTCAGGAGTTACCAAAAACGTCTCAACTCTGAATGTTAATAGACAATTATCCAAATAAATGGCACAGATTTGGGAATTGGATAAAAAAGTAAGACCTATCCATCTGCCGTCCACAAGACACACGTCTTGCCAACAAAAATGAACATTCTCAAATTGAATGCCTTGAATATCTTTCAAGCAAACGCTCCCATAAACAGGTTGGAGTAGTATTCCTAATATCAGATGAAATAAATGTCATATTAAAATTATTGGGAATAAACAAAAAAGGGCATGACAGATTAATAACTATAACTCTCCTTCAGGAGCATATAACAATTGTAAATATCCATGCACCAAACACTGAAGCACCAAAATTCATTAAACAAATACTTATTAATCGAAAACTTTTTAATCTAAAAATTAGATCCAAACAATTGAATGTTGGTGACATCAACATTTTACTGTTGCGTCTGGATATATCAACCAGGCAAAAATAACATCAGAGCTTAACAACTGCATTGATAAAATAGAATTGCCAGATAAAATTCAAATAATTAAGAAGAATCAGATACCTTTTTAAAAATGTTATTTTATGGTAAAGATGCTGGATAGAGGGGTTACATTGACATGAATAAGGTACATTTCTCATTGAATATTGTTACCCACTCCATTGTTGTTCTCCCAGTATCCTTCCCTTCCCCATTCTTTCCTTTACCATGAAGTTTTAAAGTTCATTTCCCACATAGTGTCCTGTATCATTGTTGCAATGGGTCATCCTTTGTCATTATTTCAGCATTTTGTTATTTCCCTTACCTTTCTCCAATCAGATAAAAATAATATACAAGATGGAGGGAACAAGAATCAAAGACAGAGATTGCCATGAATAAACCAATGAAAAAGAAAAATGAAATGAAATAAGTAGAAATAACTAGATACAATACATTGGCGACATCAAGGTTGACAACTGAAAACAAAAGACTTGTTTCCACGTCTTGTAGTTCATCTCAATTAACACCATTTTGTATGGTCATATGTACATAGCTCTTGAGCTATTATGGTTCTCTCTCAGTACTAACCAAGGCATATAGTAATTACTATAAATGAGGTAAAACATAGAGCCTATGTTTCTTTGGGTCTAGCTTACTTCCCTTAATATGATTTTTTCAAAGTCTTTCCATTTCCTTCCAAAAGTGCCAATATCATTCTTTCTGATAGAAGCATAAAATTCCATTGTGTAAATATACCACATATTCTTGACCCATTCATCTATGGAGGGGTATTTGAGTTGGTTCCATAGCTTAGCTCTGGTAAATAATGTTGCAATAAACATATTTGTGCTGGTAGCTTTAGTGTGTCCTTGTTTGGGATCATTTGGATAAATGCCCAGGAGTGGGATTGTTGGATCATAGGGGAGTTGTTTAGTTTTTGAGGAACCTTCATACTGTCTTCCAGAGGTGGAACCAGCTTACATTCCCTCCCACAGTGTTGTAGTGCTCCCTTTTGGTCATATCCTCACCAGCAGCAGATACATTTTTTTCAGCAGCTCAAACAACATTCTCCAAAGTAGATCATACTGTAGGTCAGAAAACACTTCTGTGCAAAATCAAAAAAAATTAACATTATTCCCTGCATCCTGATGAATCATGGTGGATTAAAATTAGAGCTCAGCAGAGAAAGCTATTACAGGAAATTCCCTAAAACATGTTGAGTTAACAACATATCACAGAATGACCCAGGGGTTATTGATGAGATTAGAAGGGAAATTCAAGTGTTTATAAAACAACAGAAATGAAAACTATAAAAAACAGCTCCTCTAGGACACAATGAAGGTTGTACTCATTAGAAATTCTATAGCTCTAAATGCCTACACAAACAAGAGAGATCACAAATCAGTATTTTAATGATGGATATTAAACCTCTTGAAATACAAGAACATGACCAACTCTAAACCACTAAATTGAAACAATAAAATTAAAAACAGACGTAAACAAAATAGAGAAGAAAAATACCATAGTAAGCAAAAAATAGAGACTGGTTCTTTCAATAAATTAACAAAATTGAGAGACCCTTAGCAAATCTGAACTAAAAGCAAGATAATTCATCCAAATAAATGAACTTAGAGTAAAAAATGGGGAAATCAATGCAAATACAATCAGGACTCAGAACATTAGAAGGCAATAATTTTTAAACTTCTGTCATAACAAACAGAAGAACCTGGAAGAAGTGGTAAAATTCCCAGAGAATATTGATATACCCTATCTAACAAAAGAGATTGGAACCAAATAAATACACCTATAACAAATAATGAAATTGAAATGGCTATGAGACCTCCTGTCTAAGAAAAGGCCAGGACCTGAAAGATATACGACCGAATTTGAAAAAGCCTTCAAAGAGAAGTCACACCAATCAATATTTTTAAACTCTACAATGAAATTAGAAAAAATAGATTTCTACTAATCTCATTCTTTGAAGCCCTCAAAACACTCATCCAAAGACCAGATTGGACTCATTAAAGAAAGAGATCTATTAATTTATCAAGAAATTTCTGGCCAACCTAATTCTACAAATATAAAAAATGATTGGATCAAAAGATTCAGATCAAATAGATTAATTCTGTGGATACAAATCTTGTTCAATATAGTTAAGTCCATTAGATTATTCAACACATCAAGAGGAGAAGCAAAACAAATATATGATCATTCAAAGAGATGCAAAACAAACATGTGATAAAATTCAACAACCTTTTGTAATAAGTGCTCTGGAGATGCTAGGGATCCATGCCAAGTTCCTGAATATAATATAGTCCATATATAACAAAACTATAGCCAGCATTATACTTAATGGTGAAAACTGAAACCAATTTCCTCCAATATCAGAAGGAAGAAAAACACGCCCACTCTCTCTACTCCTTTTCAATATAGTAATGGACTTCTTAGCAAGAGCAATAAAGCAAGAGACAAATAAAGGGGATCCAAATAAGTGATAAGTAAAACTATCCTTCTATGCAAATGGCATAACTATGTATTGAAAGATGCTTATAGATTCCTCTCTGAAATTATTTGAACTGATCCAGAACTTTGGGAATGATACAAGATCTAAATTAACCCACAAAAATCAATAGCTCTCTGGTCTGCTAACAATGAAAAGTTTGTGACTGAATTCAGGAAAGCAAATCTTAATAGACTTAAAAAAAACTGAAAATACCTTAAC